AAGTGGTCAAGTTACAGAACAGAATACTGCATATATTTGATCACCATGTTCACCACGATGCGATCCTAGTGAATAAATAGAAAATACGTAGTCATATTTGACGACTCATTGATCTAGTGGTTAGTACCCCTGACTGCGAATCCATGGGTTCCGGGTTCGATCCCCGGCTGAGACGAACATCGATGTGATGAGCGTTTGGTGTTGTGCTTAGGTCTTGGGTGTTTAAATATGTATATCTATCTATGTATGTATATCCGTTGCCTAGTATCCATAACCCAAGCTTCACCAGCTTAGCATGGGACTAGGTCAATTGGTGTGAATTGTCTTTAAAAAAAAAAAAAAATATTAGGGGACGTCCGTTCCGCTTAGTAATTTCTTGGACCTAAAAAAAATTCCGCAATTGATATATAACGTTTGCTAGTAATATATGTTTAAATGGCTTATCTTGCATATACGTATATACTTTGTTTGAATTAATATCATATATTTGAAAATATTCTATTATTTACAAAATTATTCAAAAAATTAAAAACCATTCTACAGGTGAGGTAATTTAAAATTTTCGTAGTACCATTGTCAAATGACAAGACAACTATATGGAAAGGACTAAGGGGGAGAGGAAGAGGGTGCCCCAAAAAAAGATGGATGGAAGGAATAGAAGCATTAGCAGGAAGTGAATAGAGCAAGAGAACTATGGGCAGAGATATTTGGAAAAAAGCTGGAGGAAGCCTTTACCCGTGAAGGGGTTCCAATTAACGGCACTGAAGGAAGCTATAAGGATAGCGGCGATTTAGGCGGTAAATAATATATAATATATATAACCATTGTATAAAAAATCGGCTCGTTTTAGTTCTATGAGTTCCTATCGTCTGTATGCCACAGTGAAACTATTCAACATTTTATTTCATATCGCGATATGAAACTTCTTGTAGACACTTCATCTCCCGGGGCGCGTGTTTACTTTGCGCGGAATTATTCTCAAAGACATTTGCCGCTATCGGCTATTCCATATTTGCTTATATGAATTAAATCATTTCTATTTATTTACTTCGCGAAGCACAGATAATATTTTATTTATTATAATAGATTGTTTATTAAGAATAAGTTTGTAGTGTGTCGGAAACACATATTGTTTACATACATAGTTTTTCTGTCCACCACTTATTTACCAATGACAGTATGTTTAGGTAATACAACAAAATTAAAGTTAGGAAACGTACATTATATTCGTACATTATTAATTTAGGATGGGGCTCCGTCACTATAGTTGTGCGTCTGCAATGTTTGGTTGTGATGAGCTGTACAGTAAGCTGTAAGGCGCGGTGGAGCCCTAACAGCATGCTGGCGAAAATAGCGGGAAGGCTGGATTGCCCTTACATGGGTCATTGCAATGGATTACGCCCTTTTTAATTTTATGATTTAATACACTCTAAGCTAACCTACTAATATAATATTTAAGACAACATTGTAACTAATACAATAACCATTATGTGGACTTATGATTGTCTAATTGAATAAATAAATAATAACTATTATTAAATGCACGCTGTTACAATAAACTAAATCTCATATAAAAGTCCAAGGTTACTAGACCCATATAATGCCACATAAAGCCTTTATAGAAATTTCTATTCTCGTTCTTAGAAAAAATCCATCCAATCCATTTCCCTAGTATATACGTGTTTTGTTCAATTGATTTCCATTCATTTTTAAAATAATTTCACAGATTCCGAACACGTAAGCTAAAAAAAGTTCCCTTAACGAAGGTTTAGGATAATTCAAGCGTTAAACGAATCGTGAACGAAGTTGAAAATTACTCATTCAAATCCTGTTAACGATATTCGATTTAGATCGTTAATCTCAACTGTTTTACTTCATTTAGGTGACAATAAAAAGATTTTTTATGTTTAATTTTTAAAACTCAGTTTTATATCGCGCAGCCCGGACGTACAACAGCCAATATTTAAGCCTTGATTTGTTTTAGCTACCGCGCAATATGGTTAAAAGGAGTATTAAAAATATCCATAGCGCAACATCACCCGCATCATGAGCACACAACTTTACGTACATACCCCCACATTTACACCATCACAAGCTAAATTAGGTAATAGTTAAATGTATTGAATAATTTTTATTGCTTTTCCCTTTAAAATTTTTATATAAGGAAGCAGCAGGTACATGTCAGAGAGTGGCACAGTGCAGTTAGGAATGGCGGATTGGGAGGAGGCCTTTGTCAAGGGCACACAGATAACAGAGACAGAACCTAAAAATAATGAGATGGAAATGTGTTTGTGTGTGTGTGTGGAATTGTGATGGAAAGTGTAAAATATCTGAAATAAAAGGCTATTATTGTTATAAAAAGTTTTTATAGGTAAATAGCGGCTTAGCATTTATATGTATTGTATTTTTTTTTAATCGGCACGCTATTTAAAATGTTCATCTCTACAATAAGGTATAGATATTTTTAAAGTAAATTATAATTTGTTGTGGCAAGTAGCCTGTACCTCAATAGTGCCGTAACACTTTTAGCTTTAAAATTAAAAGGAATTATTTTTTATTGAAATATACAGAACTTTGATTCTAGAATTTAGAATTGCCTTTTAATAAAAACGCTTTTAAAGGTTCTTTTATATTTAGTGGTTTTAGTTACTCTATGAGTTTATTATAATTATGAATACTTTAATAACTGAAGTTATAACACATTTACTAATTGTAAATGTTTTTTCAATGTTGCCTTTTTTATACGGACTCACCTGTTGTTATACCGCAGCGCATGGGTACTCTCAATGCCAGAGGATGCGTTGCCGGCCTTAGAATTGGTACGCTCTTTTATTATTAGTAATATTTTGTAAAGCCAAATATTAAGTATGAGTTGTATAAATTCGAGTTTCATATTTTAGAATATTAATATATATTTTTGTATTTAATAAGCACTTTTTTGTTTGTTTGTCATAAAAGGCTCTATCACCTTTGTAAAAAATTAATCTCCTGCGCAAATAACCAGAGTCAACATTGGATTAGCCAAAGTATGGAGTTAGTTAATAACAAATGTCCTTAAACAAGATAATGTCACTGTAAACTATTCAAAGTTAAAGTGTACTCCTACCTCAAAGGCCGTCAACGTACCCACTAAAAATGGGTGTCGATGTGCTGCGATGACTGCCTTTTATAGGCTCTTTATTAGATATTAAAAAACTAGAAGATAATATCAAAAATACATGAAAGTGTAGTAAAACGCTTAATGGTTTTAAATTAATAAACATTAGTATAACAAAACATCAACCCTTGGGACCTGAGGGTGCGGTTATAATTATATTACACTTATAGTAATACATTAGTGCTCGGTTTGAAACGCGTCGTAGAATGTTTAGACAAATGGTATTCACAAATAACTACTCGTAGATAATACGTGTGGTATTTTGTTGCCTGTAAGACATTGTTTTGTACGTAATAATACAGTGATTCTTTTTTACACGCTTTATATTAGCTTCACCTGTATGTATGTATGTATGTATGTAACCGACTCCTTCGGACTCGATTTTGACCCACATTAAACGGACAGATTTAATTCAAACTTTGTACACTTATAAAGAATCAGCGACAATATAATAATTTCATAGGTTTATCTCGAAAAAACAATGAAATTTTTTAGTCCTTTAGTATTTAGTAGTAGAAAAGTCCACAAAGCAATACGATTAAATTGAGACAACACGTATTACTGCTAGGACTAAAAAGTGGAAAATAAATATAGTTAAAAAAAACTAAAAAACACGCTTTTAAAGCACATCAAAAGTGAAAAATAATTCCTAATTTAGGCTGAAAATGGTAATGAACAAAAAATACTGGTATTATTGTGAAAAAGCGTGGGGCGCTCTGTGCCATATTTTTCGTCTATCGAGCAACCTTTGATGTGCTTTAAAAGCGTGTTTTTTAGTTTTTTTAACTATATTTATTTATTAATGTTATATTTACGTCTTTATCTTTACAGGGAAGTAAAATATAGTTACAAAAGATTTTGGTAAAAAAATTGTGGAAGGGATTTATTCTGTGCTTTTAATACACTAAACAAAATTTGATATATAGAGACTTTAGTTAAATAAGCCTGACTTTAGTTAAATAAGACTGTTTTTATTTTTAAGACTGACTTTGACGTTACCGTTGTAATACGTGTGGTATTTTATTGTCTATAAGACATTGTATTTGACGTAATAAAACAGAGATTTTAGGGATTCTTCATATTTACAGGCAAGTAAATTATAGGTACAACAGGATTTTTTTGAGAAGAAAAAACATCGTGATTTACTCTGTTCTGTTACAATGTGACTAGCTAAAACATACTAATAAGTTTTCTTTTTAAGACTGACTGTGACAGTAGGTACCCTTTGTAATACGTGTGGTATTTTGTTGTCTGTAAGACATTGGTTTGGACGTAATAATACAGTGATTTTAGGGGTTCTTTATCTTTATAGGCAAGTAAATTATAGTTACAAAAGGATTATATTTGAAAAAAAATGTGAAAGTAATGTAATAAATATGCAGAAAAGAACATATTGCGATAGGAACTAAATATGTCATAATGATAAAATAAAATATTACGATTTTTTTTCCAGATAACGATGACTATTTATTGAATAAACATTTATTTTCATTAAATACAAACATTTACGAATTTATTTTAAATCGTGACTACTTTATTCGTTTAATCAGTGACTTCGGTAATAGTTATATTCGATTTTGCCTCTGAGGACGGTATTACTGTGACAATTGGTCGATATATATACCGCCATATAGAGTGGCGGCGCGTCGCCACACCAGAAATTGGTTTTACGTGCGGCTATAGATGTTTCACATCAATAAAATAAAAAATTGCGATTTATTGTGTTCTGTGCAATGTTACAAGCTAAAAAGTTTTTTTTTTAAGACTGACTTTGACGTTACCACATATAAATGTACGTTTACATTTTGTCATAATGCAAATGACTTTTTGAATATGTTTTACAATGATTATTGTATTGCTTTTACTTTTAGCTAAACCTATAAAATCATCATTACTATCACGTGTAAAAAACCGATACGAGTATTTACCTCATGAAGATGCAGATTTTGGGTCGGACGACTTATACGAATTTGTGAGCACCAATGATTTTTTACCAGAACCAAAAAACATTGTACCCAAATTGTACGATTTAAATCCAAACAGTTTTAAACAAAGAAAAACAACAATGCATGAAATCCCCTATAGTTTCGATAAAATTCGTAAAACTATGGAAAATGAAGAAATTTTTGAAGAAGCTCGTCAAACTATACACGATAAAATTACTTTAAAACATCGTAAGACTTTGGAAGATAAATTGAATATCCAGAACGTAACGGATAAGCTAAACATATTAAATAAACACATTTATGACGTTGAAACATATGTTTCATTAAATAACAATTATTCTACAGAAATTTATCTAAAAGTTGGAAGTAACAGTACAGCTATCCCAATATCACTAGAGTGGAGACCAACTAAAAATATGAGCATAGATACAACAGATAAAAGACGCAAGACTTTTGCATCGCTTTTTCCAACTAGAAGAAACTTAGATACTATAACTGGTGCGTTACAATCACCTGATTGATTACAGTACAATACGCTGAGTAGAATTATATTTTATTTATTTTCTCCTCTCAATTCACACATTTAAAAATGAGGACAATAGAAAATATGTTATAGAAAGGATATACATGTATGAAGATAACATGAGAACTTAGAATCCATGGAACTTCCGGTCCAGCCTTAGCCGCTACGGCTTGCATAATGCCTGTGCTTTGTTACAGCGGGTGGGGCTGCTCTTCCTCCGCGCCTCTGATTTTTTATATACACTCTAGGGGTAAGGCAGACCACGTGAATAGCGGGGTGCTCTGATTCGGTTTTGGGTACTTTTTGATGAGATTTTTTTTTTGGCAAATAAGTTCATGTGCCATCATAACAACACTAGCTAGTTATGAAGCTGAGAACTCATGACGAAGTGGGGCTGCTCTTCCTCCGCGCCTCTGATTTTTTATATACACTCTAGGGGTAAGGCAGACCACGTGAATAGCGGGGTGCTCTGATTCGGTTTTGGGTACTTTTTGATGAGATTTTTTTTTTGGCAAATAAGTTCATGTGCCATCATAACAACACTAGCTAGTTATGAAGCTGAGAACTCATGACGAAGTCATAAAAAAAATCAGCCTCAAAATCGCTGGTGGCGCGATACTGAATATCTCAACTTCCTCACAATCGAGTAGCCCGCGATATCGCAGCATACAACTCACGAGGGGACTCTTTGTATTGAAGAAGTCGCATGGGTCTGCCAAGCATCCGCGAATATACACTGTTAATACATAATTATGTAGGAATAAAGAAAATAATGATAATAGCAATTAACTAAGCATAGCAAGGTTTCTAAAACGACTCGGCGAAAGGTCTCAGTTTTTCATGACAGTTTTTTTGAATTTCCGACACAATCTGTTAATAGGACGTTTAAACGATGACCATAAAGGTGACACATATATTTAGATTTCATTGACTACAATATACTATTCGAACGATCCATCAACAATGGTCGTAGACTTTAACTAAAAGATACTGCGAATAAACTGGAACTTAGGATGCATTCACTTAGGTCATAACGACGACTTGACGACTTATTGGTCTAGTGGTAAGTACCCCTGACTGCGAATCTATGGGTCCCGGGTTCGATCCCCGGCTGAGACGAACATAGATGTGATGAGCATTTGGTGTTGTGCTTAGGTCTTGGGTGTTTAAATTTGTATTTATATGTCTATCTGTCTATAACGGATATACATACATAATGTATATCCGTTGCCTAGTACCCATAACACAAGGTTCACCAGCTTAGCATGGGACTAGGTGAATTGGTGTGAATTGTCTTTAAAAAAAAAAGGTTATATTTATGTATTTAGGTGCCTATACCAACATAGCTTAGGTCGTTTAAGGCTGTATTGTAAAGGACTTATATAATTAATGAATATGTTAAATATCAAGAAATGTGTTATAAAAGTGTATTCTTACATGTTCTGTTTAAATATAGAAGGGTCGCGGGTTTGAATCTTAATTAGAACGCACAACCACAATTGAGATTTGCCTTGCCCAAACAACTAGACGTTACTGATACTAAGTAATGCTATGGTAGAGGTTGTTACAGGAACCACAACATCACGTAGAAGTAAAACCAAATACCCAGAATGGCTGACGTGGCTAACTGATGCTTCTGATACGACTACCACATCCTTTTTTGAGAACTTAAAATCTTCTGCACCTTCGCAAAGTCCATTAACGTCTGTTTCTACGCTTGAAATGACTCAAAGTGCACCCAAAGGCAATAAGTTGAAGTCAAAAGTTAACTCTTGCTATATGTGCGGAGTCTTGAAGATGGGAATACCGAGAAATCAAGAATGCTACCAAGTTTTTGATTCGCCTGATCTAAGGTAGGAAAAATAGCAGGTCATAATTTATTATTAAATTAAAGTAACCTATTTTTTAAGGTTGTAATGAGGCTTAGAAATCTTTATTTATTTATTCGTATCGTACAGATAACATAAAGTAAATATATACAACAAGAAAACAATAAAATTAAACACAACGATAGAGTTATAGAATCGCAGGGCTGATCTAAATATTTTGACTCGTTAAAGGTAGTTTTTAAGACTATTCATTAAAATAATGATTAAACTTTTATACTGATTCTTGTATACACTAGGATATTCTTGTGTGGGTGACTAGACACTTCCGAGGAAAAATAAAGTGTAAAAGCATTAGAAACTAAATTTTGCCTAAATAAGTTAGCAATCGCACGCAGCGTAAAATGTTAGTGTTCGTTTGGAAAATGTACCTTCTTCGTAATTCGTCTCACCCCACAATTGTTTTTTTTTTCGTTTACTAACCAATACTAACATAGCAACTAAGACCGATTTGTTACTAACTCTAACTAAAACTACATATGTTAGTTAGTTATGTTGTTTGATAACTGTTTACTTTAGTTCAGGATCGACCCATGATCCTGTTGCACACGGGCCTGAGTAATTTTATATTACTTCTTTTTGATGATATAAATGGATTTCGGGATATCTAATGATTAGATAGATTATGTAACTGTTTTGGGATTATTCCAGTGATGGACAAATTGATAGGTACTATTGATATTATTATTAAACAGATTTTGATATATTTTTCGAATTTACAGATACCGATATAAGAAAAAACGGTTTCGTGTAAAGTGCGTCCATAACTCGGTAACTTACTGGTCTGGTCGAAACTTCTATGGACCGTTCTTTCGCGGTGGTTGCTTCAAACGATTCCTTGATATAGGAACAATTTACAATGAACGAGGATGTCGGGTCAACTCTGAATGGTCGAAGCGAGGTACTTACGCCTCTAATAGGTTTAGAAAATTGGAAAAACTGCTGAATAAAATAGATGATGGATGTGTTTCGAGTCCCCATGCATCGCTTACTCCCTTTAGTCGAGCTATTTCTTTATATGCGAGGTATCACGTTTGTGTTTGCAAGAAACGGTATTGCAATGCCAGTACTATGTTTGGTTTTAACGTTTTGTTATATGTATACAGTTTGGTTTTATTAAAGTTTTAAATAATCTAGGATTTCTTTTAAGCCTTTGTTATGCATCGTTTGTTTTTAACGCGTAGAAGCGTTGTCATATAAAGAAAAAGGTTACATCTACACATTGCAAGATTTTTAATGTCTATAATTTTTAGTTTTTTTTTAATGGCCACAGCGTCACTTCAATTTCAGGTTGTAGGTCTAATCTCTGGCTGTGCACCATTGGACTTACTGTCTATAGGCGCATTTAACATTTGCTCTTACGGTGAAGGAAACAATCGTGAGGAAACCGGCTTGCCTTAGACTCAAAAAGTCGATCGCGTGTGTCAGGTACAGGACGATCACCTGCTTGTCTATAAGATTGACAAATGATCATGAAACAGATACAGAAATCTACCTAATCTAAAATGGTAGCGGCACTGATTTTTTAAAAATAGATTCATGCCTGAGTGATAGATAGAGCCTCATTCGGATTGATATATTAAGAAGTTATTAAGATGGTGTGATAAAAGGAAGGATTCAATCGACTTAAAAAGGTCAATTCAATTTGACCCGCACTAATAGAATTCGGCCCTCTTATAAAGGTAAATGTATATATATGTTATTACCTTATAGATATACGTAGTTGTGGCTTAGTCGTGGAGCACGTGTAATATTTCTGGCAAACAGAAGACCGATCACCTAATTGTCTAAAAAAATGCCATAAGTTATTTCCTGAGCGCTACAATGATGTCACGAGATACGATCCGCTACGAGCTACGAGCCTCTACGAGCTACGAGCCTCTACGAGCTGGTATGTGGAGACTTAGCGGCGTAGACGGCCATTTAAACGATATAAACTTGAATCTAAGTTGCGATAACCCTTTTTATCTATAATAAGGCTCCAACATGATCTTTCACTGCCTACAGAATTGAACTTTAACTAATTAATTAGTTAACTAATCATTATTGTTCAGAAATTTGAGAACTCGATTACGTAATAATATTTTTTTACCGCATCTACTATTATAATTATAATAATAGCCTTTTCTTTTTGTATTAAGGTATCTGTGTGCCCTTTTTAGCAAAGGCCTCCTCCAGATCCCGCCATTCCTGTCAAGTGTTTATTTATTTATTTCGTACTCATACAGGTAACATATATTATATTTAATAAAAAACAATTATACTTAACATATAGCCAATATGGTATACATAATATAAACGAGAAGGTTCAAATATTACACAAGGGAAAAGCTATTAAAAAAATAGAAATTATTCAATACAATTAAACTAAGTAATACCTCAGGTATGTACGTGAGTTAATCGTATTGTTTTCCTCGAGAGTCTAAGTCAATTTTATAATGTTCTCACGCGTCTTTATAGGTATTAAACTTATTAAAAGCCTTATATGAGATACATTTTATAAAGTTGATTTGAATCTTTTCAATTTATTGTACCACTCTCTGCCGTGTACCACCTGCTGTTTCCTTAATTTCGTCTCTTCACCTTTTTCTTAATCTTTAACCTTTATTTTACCTTGGGCTCCAGTTTAGTACTTTCTCGCTCCTCTTGCCATGTGCCCCGCCCATTTCCATGTTTACTTATTTTATTGTAACTTCTCCGACCTAAGTTATTCTTCTTAATGATATTTTTTTATCTATTATTTTTTTGTAATATTTTTTGTCTATTATTAGAAATAAATAAGAAAGGAGTAATGTTTTACGTAAGATAAAGTTAAAAAATGTCAACTTTTATTTAAAGTTAAAATTTGAAACTATAAAAGTTGCCGCGTGAAAAGCATATAGCTAAAGCAATAAAGTTAGGCGTCAAAAGAACACACGAGAGGCTCAGATAGCTTTCAAAGGCTTCGACTCGAAAAGATATTAAAGTTTTAAAAGCTCCCGCTCCTGCCAGTTACGATTTTTAACTTAACTTTTACTCCGTTTTAGTGTACATTGAGTTTAATTTGTTCGATTAAGTAGTTCGCGTCTTGAATTTCTACAAAGCTTCGTCTGTACTAGACCTGTACTTGACTTTGTGCATAGAATAATGTTTTTTTTTCTTATGTTAAATGTATATAAATGGTTCTGCATTTTTTTAAATTAATTTTGTTGTATAAAATATCTAATACATTTCAAAGATTGTTTTCTTTCGAGATTTTGTTCATATCATTTTAAATATTGGTGCGCATTGAATTAGTGTCAATGTTACTTGAGCGTTGAATTTCTTTAACGAGAAAGCCCTAGCCTTTTTGTTGAAGGTTGGTTAGATTAATTAATACTTCATAGAGGCATTCATTTTAGGCTGTGTAAAAAGAATGCAAGAAATGTTTTCAGTAATAAATTATAACAGGATAAAATAATCATATTTAAAATATAATAGTTGCATTGTATATTTAAAGTTATCGACATTTTATTACCAGGAATTCAGAAAAGAAATCAGTGGAACCATAACCTTTTAAGGTGTGGGCCTCAAATCTGTTTCATGATAATTTGTCTATCTAATAGGCAAGTAGGTGAATAGCCCCCTGTGCCTGACACACGCCGTCGAATTTTCGTGTCTAAAGCAAGAAGGTTTTCCCACGATGTTTTCCTTCAACGTTCGAGTGATGCGCACATAGAAAGAATGTCCATTGGGGCACAGCCGGGTATCAAACCTATGACCTCAGAGATGAGAGTCGCACGCTGAACCCACTAGGCCAACACTTCTCATCATCATTATGAATTTATTTTCACAAGATATTTAAAGCTCCATTTTCAACTGCCAATAATTGCAATATATATCATCTAAGTTAATTAAAGAACATAAATCGAATAAATTTTTTAAGAAGAAAAGCACGCCAATTCGTCTATCGCATTCTCTCAATAGTCTTGTAACAAACAGTAGTGAATGTATTGCCAAGTTGCCAGTCACGTCTGCTCCGGAAATAAATCGTCGCTTCGGGACAGTCTGTTAACTCAGGGAAATCGTTGATTAACGTTTAACAGACATTTAATCGTTTGTACCGGGTTCATAAGATTTCCGATTCTAGGTGCCAGGGTATTTCTACTTTGCTAAGCCGATAGTTGAGTCTTTTGCGGGCTTCTATTTTCCATTCACGATAGGAACGCTATAGAGGCTGTTCAGTACACTAGTCTAGAAGGGAAGAATAGACGAGGCAGCCTGGTTCTCTAACTTAGCAATACAGCATGTTTTCAGGGTCTGATTACCCGGCTAAACATTACGAAACTTATTGTTTGCGTGTAAAACTATTTATGCTTTTTTGGAATGCAACAATACCAAATTATTAAAGGTTTTATTTAAATGATAAATGATTTATTTCTGTAAGTAGGTTTTTACAAACACTTTTACACGTCAAACATATTTTTTTTAAAAACTAGATGAGATTGACGTTTCCTATCTGACTACTCTGAGAAGAAACGCCGAAACAAACTCAGAGGTCACAGTCTCTTTTAAAGTCCAGACATAACAAGATTATGTGAAGACCATGTAGATTGCAGTCTGAAATGGTCTTTTGAGGAAAGAACCACACAGATTGAGTGGACCTGTCAAGTCCAAAGACAAGATAATTTAATTAATAATATCGACATTATTAAAATAACTTGAAGTTTTGATTGCTCTACAGCAAGTGAGAGACTGTTAAACGACTGCTTAGATAACTATTATGTTCATAAGAGTCTATTGAAACTTAAACAGAATACTAATGACATCTATTGCCACGAAGTTGCGAGATTTCGCAATTTAACCCGTATTTTTTTTTATAGAAATGATTTGTTAAAATTTTTATTTGACAAATAAATTTTAGAAATTTTGTTAAGTATGTCGAAAAAATTTAATGCACAAACCACTCAGTTTTCCCTAAGAGCCTTGATAAATTCATGAAAGTGAAATTTATGGCGAAACTTGGCAAAGTTTCGTTACTTTATCTTTATGAATTTGGTAACTTTTGAAAAATATGTTTTTTCCTCATCAGTAGAATTTACATAACACCTAATAACACTGTCTGACTAGTAATTTCACCTACCACATTGCTTCCATGATTATTTATTTCGTAATCCTACAGCTAATAACAATTATAAACCAAAACATTTACAAAAAGGTTCAAACTTTTACAATACGGAAAAATATTCAATACATTTAACTAAGTAATACCTAATTTGACTGTGTTGTGGGATGGTGTAAAAGTGAGGGTATGTACGTGAACGTGTGTATGTGGGCTATGCTCATGATGCAGGTGATTTTGCGCTATGGATAATCTTAGGCTGAATTTAGTCTCACGCTCACCGTCAGCGCTCATAGATCAGCGCGTAGTTCCTCAGCGCTGACGCTCAGCGTGGTTTGTTTTAGTATCGTACTGACCGCCTTACTGTACAGACGAACAAAAATGCGGAGTGTATTAGTTATTGCTGCTTTGTACTACCTATCTCAAAAAAATAAAAACCAGCGACGACGAAGACTCCTTGTTCATCCATTGATTGATCAGAGAGCCGTTGCAGGAGACTTTGTCTGGTTATATCGCACTTTGAGGGCTGACGAAAGTAAATCCTTTAATTACTTTCGAATGTAAACAAGATATTTTTGTAGAGTGGATCGGATGCATCCCACAATTTCTTCCTCAGGCGTACCTCGTCGATAACTCGACCTGTATCCACTTCGCGATTTGCCATGACTGTACAAGCTGACGACGTCCGCTCCGTTCGACACTATAATGCTCTCTGAAAGCACAGGCGCTCTAGCGATCGTCAGCGCTGACAGCTACGCGGCGCCGACGCGCGACGCGTACGGCCGCGCAGCCATCAGCGCTGATCACCGTGCGCGCTTATAGCTACGCGTCATTCAAAAACGCTTTCTAGAAGTTCATATATCTCGACCATCAGCGCCGACGGTGCGCGTGTGGTCGGCGTGACACTAAATTCAGCCTTAATACTTATTTAAAATATTTTAATTTCATCTCGGTTGGTTGGTTTAGACTGCAGGCTAAGTTCACAACAATAATACGTAAGCAAATTGATCTCACTATATTAAGTTTACATACTACATAGTTTCAATTTCGCGGAATGATCTAAGCTTGGTGTGTTTGGCAATGCAAGGCGGTACTTCACTCCGGGGCATCGCTTGCAACCCTATAAAGCGCAAATGCGCACCACGTGGGGTCTGTTCTCACCTCTGGGCGGGAGTTCCCTAGTAACAGCTCCTTTCACTTGACCATATTCAAAAGATCGAAGAGCGGTTCGAATCGTCGATTACCAATTCCTTCCGAGCGGCTCCCTTGGCGTTGTGTAGAGATGTGGAGTCTGCATTTCCTACCATATTTACGACGGAGAGAGTTCATAAGCGTTGTTTGGATTAATACCTGCAGCTGCGTTTTTACAACAAACTCCCAAGCGAAATTAGAGAATTATCACTAAATAAATTCAAAGCCCTCGTTAAACGGCAACTAATCAATAAGGCGTTTTATAAATTTGAGGAATACTTAAATGATCCTAATCCTTGGGGTTGATTTGCTCCAGTTCAAACAATTTGTATGACAATACTTGGCGATTAAAAAGAGTGGCGGAAAGTTTCTTGCCAGTTCTTCTTATCCGCTCTACGCCCTTGACTTGCGAACTGGTAGTAAATGTAAATTTACAATTAATTTAACTTGACAATTCAAAAGTGTACTTGGTTACCCACTTGAATAAAGATATTTTGAGTTTGAGTTTGAGTTTCATCGTCTGACGTCGCGGCAGAAAGTCAGTTTTTGCCGAGCCACCACAATGTGGAACCAGCTATCCACTTAATTATTTCCGAACCAATTCGACTGAGGGTCTTTCAAGAAAAGAGCGTACCAATTCTTAAAAGGCCGGCAACGCACTCGCGAGCCCTACTGCATTGGGAGTGTCCACGGGCGGCGGCATCACTTAACATCAGATAAGCCTCCTGCCCATTTGCCCGTTCTAGAAAAAAAATCTTGTAACATGATGCTTGATGATCTTTCGATGTCACTATAAAAACCAGCCCTTATCAGACAGTGCCACGTAATTATTGTGTCGAAAATTGGAAATCGGTTATTACTTTTATAGAGTAGTCCTGCAAATTTAGCTCTTAAGTTCATATAAAGCCTTCTGTTACATAGCTGTTATTATAATAGACAAACCTAAATTTTTCGTAGATTATAGAATTTAATAGAAACGAGCATGGTACAGTAATGTGTGGTTTTGTTTAATTAAACAATGCTAGCTAATGGTGCTTCTGTACCTGAAAAGGTAAAATAAAGGCGTATCAAAATGTTGACTGACAAATGAGCCAATTAATCTATCGGGACAGGAATCTATGCTAAGGTAGCGAGATAGATAGCGGTCGGGATTTGAATCCACGACCCCTGTCACCTTCAGACATAAATCTCGATAGCCTTCCACTTTCACTAACAGTTTACGTGACACGAGAGGTTGTAAAATGTAGCGTAGAAGAAGAAGGAAATAAAGAATTGAGCAGCATTGCTGTGTTGTGTCATAGAAGTCCTGGAACCTAGGGCAGACACAACTATTTCAGTGCTTATCTATGGAAAAGTAAATGACCAGCCTTCTGTGCGTGAACAACGACGAGGTCAAAGGCACTCTGGATTCTAGTAACTAGTTCCTTCGCCGTACTTGTAAGTGTTGATTGAGATATGTATGTATACTATACTTACATATGTCAATCAACATAATATATTGTATACATGACTTTATTATATACTATTTGGTATAGAATAAATGCACAAAAGCATTACATTTAACTTCAATATCACACTGTATGGAAAAGATGCGAGTTTTGGTCTGTCATTTAAATTCAATTCGAAGATTTTTTTGTTAGTACAATTTGGATTGTAAAAGAAATAGGATAAAAGTGATTGTTATCAAGTAAAATAACAATCTCTAAATGTTGTTTCTTAAAATACATATTCATTCATCATGTATCTATATATAACTAGCGGCCCCGACAGACGTTGTCCTGCATGATATTTCAAGGGATTAGGATGTTAAACAAAGTATAAAAGTACCGATTGCAGTGCCATCTGCCGGGCTGATTTGTGAATCTAAACGTGAAAAGAGTGTAAAGTGTTCAGGGACATACACATGTACAGTAGAATTATATATGTAAGCTATCTTATAAGATAGATCAAACTGCACACGGTGTGCAAATTTGACTGAAATCGGTTAAGTAGTTTAGGAGTCCATAGCGGACAAACAACGTGACGCGTAATTTATATATTACTAGCAGACTCGGCCAAGCGTTGCTGTGGCTAAAGTTTTTGTTTTTGATTACATAGTAGTAAACTATTCAAGGGAAACGTCGAACGCCAGTCACGGTTATGTCATTAAATTGTAGCTTATGTGAAACGTTGGTACTTTCAACACAGCGCCATCTGTTAGAATTGTGACTGTCAAATAATAAATAAATAATTTGCAATAAAATAATAATGCGGCTATAA